TGAAACGTACAGTGGCCCTGTAGTGCAAACCACAACAACAAATCACTAAACACAACAACATCGCAAAAAACACGGTCCTAAAAACGTCATAAAAACCCAGTACACACAAAAACGTTTAAATCTATGCCGGCATTTTTAAGTTGAGTTCATAGCTGAGAAAGCAGCTGAACCATTGAGAAATATGAGGGTTAATGCAGCATGCACAAACTCACACAAACTACACAGGGAAATAATGACTACCTGTGCAATAGCAGGGTTAATGTGTGAGACACACATGTACACACAAAACACAGCGCATCATTTTCAATTTACTCCTGGTGCCAACTGCCCCCCCCCCCCCCCCAACCCTTTTATTCTCACTTTCTCATCGCTCCCTCTGTCTTCCCAAATCCCCATCTCTTCTCCCAATTTTCATGGATTCAGGCAACTAACACAATTGTATTGATTAACAGGGGGCCTGCTGACATAATATTCCCTACAAAGTCACTTGCCTGTATCCCCCCACCCCATATCTGTGTCTTTCACTCCATTTTCATCCGACTCTTCTCTCTTTGTCACAGTCTGTCAATTCTTTGACCCTGATCAGTCTTTTGGATGGAAAAGAAGGCAGCAAAGAAAACAACATGGGGGGAGCGAGCTGGAGGCAAAAAGTGACTGAAGGAATGAAAAACATGGAGAGGGAGCTGTGGGCTGAATAGAAATAAAAAGGACTTTAAATATAAGGCATATGAGTTAGGATGGATGGAATGACTGGCTGGAGGAATAGAGCAGTGTGGGGGAAAAACAGAGGAGAAGGAGAGGTGGGAAAAGGGCTGGGAGGGTTGTAGGTGGTATAGAATATGGCCTGAGAGCGGCAGGAAACGAAATATTGATTACTGGCATGTGTATACGTGTTTGGCCTAAACAAATATAGTACTAAAGCTCCTGTTTTGATTGACAGGGCTGTGTGTGTGAGAGCGACGAGAGGGAAAATATGGGGGCGAATTAGGGGAGGTGGATAGATACGGGTGGGAAAAACAGATGGAGGTGTGGAGAGATTAGGAGAGACAGACTTGTTACTGAGAAAGAGGAAAAGGAGGAATATAATAATGATGGAGAGAGAGAGAGAGAGAGAGAGAGAGAGAGAATAGCAAGTCTTTGTTTTTCCCCCTTCTTCTTTTTTCAGTGCAAGGAAGATGTGACAGAAAGAAATGAAAAGGACAGACAGAAAGAGAAAATGAGCGAGCCAGAGATGAAGCTGCAGGAATACAGTACATCATATCATTCGGTGGTGATGTACTCTACAGAGCTGAGCTCGGAGCCATTAACTGTTAGGCCTGTCACTGTTTCACCAATGTGTGCTATTCAACCAAAGTCAGCCCGCTGGAAGTGTCAACAGTGTAGTACTATACAGAGAACCTACTTTTCCTGCAGAGTGCCCTAAAAGCTCCCACCGAAAGGCACGTCTCAATGAAACAAAGTGCAACATAATCATGATAAAATATAAATCCAAATATATCTCAACATACTGTTCATTATGTGTCCCAGTCTGTGAAATTCTGCAATCTGAATCTTAAAAGGCATGCGATGAGGGGGACTTACACTGAGAAAATGAGAGTGGGAGTAAAAGATTAATGTTTTATTTGAGTTGCTACCGTAAATTATTTCTTTGTTAGAATGTAAATGTGTGCTTTTCAGTATATTTACTCCCATCTAGCTTTAAAAATATATATGCTCTGCTGTGCTTCTTCTTATTTGGGTTAGGGTTGAGGTTAGTTTTAGGAATAAGCAGAGGTTGCGCTGGAAATTTTTGCTGCTGGTCATTTTGACTGTCATGGTCAAAAAAATAATCCAGTCACAACCTATTTTTACCCAAACCCTAACCTGTCACCGTGTTTTTTAAAATGACAGTTAAACATTCAAAAGCATTTATTTTCATTCATTTTAATAAATGTTCAGTCTGAAGAAGCTGAACAGATAATCCACATCAACCCGATAAACACTTGTATCATTTCTCCCGCAGTAACCAAAAACACTGACTGTGGTCCCAATAACTATATTTAAACAATGCAATTAAAAATTGCACTTAAAATATGAACACCTGCTGTAGCCTAAACACAGTCTCACACCTTCCTCCTGGTCCGCAGGACATTAATTGTTCACCAGCTTGTGCATAATCAAATGTCTCAAGGGGGCTCTCTACAAGTGGGCATTGTCGTGAGGTTGTGGACTTTTGCCTCAGACAGACAACTTCTTGTGGTTTTCTTGATGTTCTGGAGGCTGAATCCACAAACTGCTGCCACACTTTTTTTTACCTCTTTTATCAACATTATCGTAGTTGTTGGGCTTTTCAAAGAAACTTCGAATACTCAGCTCTGTAATATTTGTCTGAGTGAAGCTAACAAGGCCATGCAAAAAGTGAGAAAACGGCTTATGCTAACTCGCCACCAAGTGGTCAGGAGTGTTAATTACAATCTGTCAAATATGGAAAATATTTGGTTATACGACCTGGCTCTAAGGTATGAATTGAGTTTAGGTTTAGTGTTAGTTGTCATGGGGGTAGATACTGTAGGTTCAGGGTAAAAGGTCCAGCATACTCCATCTGAGACTGAACAGTCCACGCATGGCCATGTGTTTGCTTGACATTCATTTTTGCACACACCATCCGTCGTCCAACAGGACACAGGGTGGGACCCCTCCCACTGCACAGGTTTCTTCCCACTGGAGTCTCAACTCCGATATTTTGCCATAACTTTGGCCACAAATTCATCAACAGTTAAAGCCCCACACTTTTCAGCAGACGGATTTCTCATTCACAACATCTGTGCTCTCTCCATCCATGAGGTCTTGGTCATCTGACAAAGTGTCTGGTTGTGGGTACAACATTCAGCACAGTTGAAGCAAAATGCTGCCACTGTCCAAGTGCTTTTCAGCATAAACGAAAACATCCACAAACTTCTGACCAGTCAAACAATTTTATTTGCAGAGGAGGGGCAAAACATTTGTCCCGGGGCTTGTGAAGACATGAGGCTGAAAATAAAATTACACCTTTTTTTGTCATCCAGCTATGTCAATGGGATCTGATTTTGCAGGTTCTGACATGCAAAGGCCTTCAGGGTCAGGTTTAGGCTACAAAAATAAATGTAAAGTAATGGAATCAACTCACAGTCCTAATAAGAATAGAAAAACCAACGTGTGCGAGTGTTTGGATGCATCTGTGTTTAAAGGAATCTTAATTGTTGTTATCATTTATGCAACATAATAACTACTTCCGCCCCCATCTTTGTCTCTGTTTGCTATTAACCCCCCTCCCCTTTACTCTAACAGCCAGTTTCTGTTTTTTCTCATATTGTTCCTTCACAGCCTCAAGCCTAAATAGCACCCATTTCATCTTCTCTCTGTCTTGTTTTCGTCCCTTCCTTCCATTACTTCCCCTCTCTGTTTCCCGTATTCCTCGTTCATTTTTTTCTCTCCAGACAAAGCTAACTTTTATTGCTTCATGATTAGATTAAGAATTTCTTATGCAGTCTACATGCGTTCTCTCATAGTTTTTTCCTCTTTCTGTGCCCATCTTCTTTCCTCTCTCTTTCTTTCTGCCTGCTTCAGTTCTTTCTTTATTCTCTGGTTTGATGTCTTCTGTAATAGACAGCATATAAAAATGAATTTAATCATTTCTCCTCCTTTCTTTCTCTCTCGCTCTCTATGTTTTTTTTTCCAGGCACCCTCTCTAAGTGCGATATATATCTGCCTCCCCCCTCGGCAGGTTGCCATGGTCGCCATACCTACTCTCTCTCTCCTATTGGTCCTGGCAGAGTGGGCAAGTCTGGTGGACATGTCCTCCCATCTCCTGCTTCGGCCAAGCCCACGGGAACGTAATGCAGGGGTCATAATGAACTTCAACATCGCTGTGATCCACGCCGGTGCTACGGTACAGGCAGAGGCGGCAGTGGCGGGGCCTGGGGGAAGGGTGCTCTACCCTGGCTTTGGACGGGTCTATGGCTCCCTGGGGGAGAGCGTGGTCACCCAGTGGGGCCCTGCTAACGTCATCTGGCTACAGGTGAGACACTGTGTCCTCTGCCTGGTGCTCGCTCAGCCATACTTGAAGGCAGAGAATAACAATTCATTATTCATTCCTACTGAGTGCAATGGGCAGCACATTGCTGCTGTGTGTGAGCAGACCACAGCTTGTACTGTAATTCAGACATGTCACCTGCAAACACGCACGCACGTGTGCACACACACACACACACACACACACACACACACACACACACACAC